ACATCTGAGATTGTTCTCAAAAAAGAATGCAACCAAGACAACACACGTATCAACACGTGGTTTTGCTCGTCAAATTTTCACCTTTGCACACAATTGAATAAAGACTGGAAATATAATTGCAAATAAGATGAAGATCACCCACCGTGTGCATGACTGAAAAACACAAAAATGCTTTCTGAAGTTTTGAAAATATCGAATGAATCGAAACGCAACAGATTGGGTGACTGAATGTAAGAAGAAGCATTCTTATTGGTACGCGATGAATAAATGCACCATAAACAGCTGAAATGATGGCATTCTATTTCACTAATAATATATGTCAAATTGAAAGCGAATTTGATTTTTATGTTTTCTGAACCAACTAACGAAGCATTAAAAATTAGCATTATTTGCGTTCCATTCAGTGTCAGAATCAGTGCAGAATCGTCGATGCTTTCTCTCCACTTATTGAATATGATTCAAATACACGCAAAAAAAACTTTTGTATTATAATTCAAAAAATCGCATGAAATACAGCGACTGATTTGTGAATGCATGTGGTTACTGATCACTTGTTGGCGTGATAAATTGGTGTTGATGGTATAAATTATATGATCAGACCAAATGAATTGTTCAAAAAAAAAATCTGAGGAACTCGTCCGTGCCTTGATCCGTTTCTTACGCTTTCTCGTTGCTGGCGACAGCGCATGCTTATTGTTCCTCGTTAGCTTCGCAGGAAAATGATCAATCAATAGCGTAATTACAAGCGAAAAAAGTTTCGAAACACCAATCATTTATTAATCAGAATGCTAAAAATAGAGCCATTTACACATATTGTCACATGGTTACTTATCATTGTCAATCCGTCTGCTAAAAATACGACTGAAAATGTTAAAAATGCCTTTGAAAAGTATTTCACGATTAAAATGAAATGACAAAAGTGCACCGTGTAAAAAGTGATCACCCATCTGCCGAGAACAACACACCTCTTTCGACTGTTTTTCATCCGTTCGTTTTTCTTTCAACTCGTGATGAACACTAGTAATACGTATCGTAAAGTATTGATAGTTGTTATCACTTTAAATGGAATAATGCTCAACAGGGTATCTTTCCACTATGGAATTTCATCATTCTGAAATTCCTAATTGTTGAAAATTGTTTCACATATAAAGATGCATGCATGCACACACATACATTCATGCTTAAATCTGTAATATAAAGTGATAAAATTCCGTTTTGGTTCATGTTCTTTCATGTGCGTCACTCGATAAGATGAAAATGCTGACTGACTGACAACTCAAGTCTGTAACTTATTTTTTGCAACTCTTTCTGAAAGCTTTATGGAAGATTTCTAGTGAAAGGAGGATTTAGCTGGATGAGAAAGTGTAATGGATTTGATGGGCTTTTTCGCTCGCTCATATCTTTCATTTTTCACCTGAGCTTTTGTGACTTGAAAATGGGAACGAAAATGAACGAATCCATCAAATATCACTCCATCAAATGTAAAGTTGAAAATGTTTTGATCCATTCGAAAAATGTACGGCGAAACTGTTTACGACGAGAGTGGAACACAGTGGTGAAGCGCAGCAACGCAAAAACATGCAAGCCAATTATTTTTGTTTGCTTTTGATTGGCTTGAGAAAGTGATATAACCACAAAGCGCAATTCTGAAACGACGATAAATGTGTAAATGAGTGCAACTAAAAAAAGCATTTGATCAGTGCATTTGATCAATGCGCAACTAAGTGCAGGAATAATGTTGGTGAGAAGTCAGACTCTCATTTGAAAGCCAAAAGAAGGGAAATGCAATAGTTTTCCTCAAAAAAATCCATTGTAACGTTCACGAGCTCCAGTTGGAACATAAATAACCGAAAGAAGTGTGTTTTCGGCGAAAATTTTCAGAACGATCCCGAAAGCATTAAACAAAGGAACAGTTGGTGCTTTGTTACGTAGATCCGTAATAATGTGCGTAGTTTTTTAATTATAAGGAATTTCTAGTTTTTCAGAACTTTTTGTTTTCAAAATGTAATTATTGTTGTTTGGAGAGATTTCTCACCATTACGCACACAACGATTGCACTTACGTTGTCGTCAACAAGAACATATGTGTTGATGGTTCAATGGGAATTTGCGCTTTCAAAGGTAGGGGAATGAAGTTGAGAGAAATGAAAGAAATAATGTCATTTTGAAGATATCATACATTCAAAATGTTTCTTAAAGGTGTTGAAAGGGACAAATTCATCTTTTAAATTTTTATTCTTATGAAGCTTATGAACCTTAAAGCGTTATGAACTAAAGTTGTCGTTCAGTTTTGATTCAATATTGAGAGCAGAGAAAAAACAAGAAAACGTTTACTTGCATCAGTTTGAAATCTATCCATTGGATTTGACATCTCGAATTCATTTTTCAATGCATATAAAGAGTCCGTTCTTGGCTACTGAATGTAAATAATTCAATTTGACCGGATAACTTTCATAATAACATCATCAAAACCCTATGTGACCGTTACAAGTCAAACTTCAGTGAACTCTATGAAATATGCTCAAGGCGGCTCGTGAAAACTATTGACTTTATCTAATGGAGATGATCTGTCACATTCGATCGCCGCTGAACATTTCTCGAGCNAATTCCACGGCAGAACCTATCAAGACGTTTTTTCCTTACTCTCCATAAGGTTGATGAATGAAACTTACAACCTTCATATTGCAAGAAGCATCTCGTACGTTTTGTCTTCTACAAATTTTAAGACGTCATTTCTGTCATTTTCAGAAAGATTGCCTTTTAGTTTCCAGTTTTTCATTGTTATTTCTCTTTTTCCTCGTTTTTTTTTCGAAAAAATTTCGGCTATTTTCCTAATGCTCTTCATTGCAGCACTCATCTTTTTTGTTCTCCAGTAGATATGCAAGTTTCCTCAGTTGTTTATTTGCAGTAGAAATAACGAGAAAATTATCTGATTAGATTATATTCAGTTATCGATCGAGAAAAAATTGGTGTAATCGACATCATTGGAGATCTAGCGATAAGGATGATAATAACAGTAAGAATGGCAAGATATAAACGAGCAGATATTCAGTTGCGAAGGAGAATGTGAATAACGAAAATGTTGTTGAGATAGTTTTTGTTGGGTGATGTTTTTGGTGATATCATAGTGGTTTTTGTGATGTGATATTGAATCATAATATCACATTATTGTTTCAAGCGATCGAAGTTCGCTGAATTTTTTTAAAATTTGTTTTACATTCGGTTCAATTTTTTTCAGTTGTTTGCATTTCTATCGTTCAAATCAGCGCAAATTATATCATATACATCGTTTGGTTCTGAATGCAGGGTGAAATAAACAGTGTATTGCGAGGATTCGGGGGCCCCGTCCCAGACCTTTTTCGAGCCGACTGCAAAACTTCGTCCTCGATTTTCCCGTCCTTACACCTATGAATGCCTCTGGTCGTCAGAATACATAGGTTTCGCGTCTTTCAAAACTGGAAAAAAACCATATTTCGTTGAAGCAGTAAATCAAACAGTTCAGTGTTAGACAGCTAACTGCATCAATCATGTGCGTTAAACGGATTGTTCACAAAAAGTGTATCATAAATAATAATTCTTCATAAACATTGCCAGACATTTTTCGTCGTCGATGCACTATTAAGTTATCATTTTTATTGAACTATTAACAAGTCGAATGCTTTTTGGTGTATGGTGAATGATTTATTTGTTACAGTCTGTTTGCGATAAGCATACATGAAGCTTACGAATAACTCAGACATACATGAAAATGGCAACAATACTGCGGATAACTCATGAAATTAAAGCTCTGAGAAAGTCTAGGAAGGGTCAGTTGAAAATTACGACGAAGTTGATCCGATCCCATCAGCTAACTATATATCTCTTACATAACCATCAAGCTTCACTTCAAGGAAATAAATTTTAAGAACACTTGGAGTCGTAACGTGGTATGTGAACAGAAATTTGGTTCAGTTACGCCGAATGGTGAAAACGAAAAATTCAGGAAATTCGGTTCAGTTGGGAAAAACAGAAAGAAAAAGAGAACAAGTAGGATTTGTTGCATTGTTAGAATTCAGATATTCGAAATCTTACTGAAAATAAAGGTGTCTATGATTTCATATTCTAGTTCTTGCAATATTCCTACCGAACATGCGAGTGGCTCCTACTGAACCAAAAAACCTCTGGTATTCTTGATTTTGATGGAAGCAATGAGCTGAAATTCGATGTACGGTGGCATAATTTCGGTTGTAGGTGAACCGCGCGGAGGAGTGGTGCATATAGAAGGGTGACAAATGATGAGCAATCGCGCCACTTCATCCTGAATCTCATTGATAACCGATTGATTGGCTAACTGCACGGCTCATCTCTGCTATTCTCGCATTTTTATACACAAAACTTGACCGTTCCATTGAAAAAGCTTCCTTCGTACGGTGATGGCTCCAAATCGAGTTTCGGAATCGAACAAATTTGAATGCTTCTCTTGATGTTTGTAGTTTGTTCGCAAAGGTTGTTAGATGTAAATAGTTTGTAGATTGATGTTTGTAGCTTATTCAAAATTTGCTCAATTCTCATTTTAGAGTAGTTTTACACTTCGCGTATTCTGTTGGTGAAGTAATATTTCGGTTTTACTTTTGCAGTAAAGTTAATTTTGTGGAAACAACGTCATGAACATATTCACGTGAATCCTCCCATTTCATGAATTTTTTCAAATCTGAGACTTTTTCATTTGCAAAAACTTCAAAACTGAGTGTCGTAGTCGCATATTTTCGTCGGCCATTATATCTACATTCCTTCACTTTATCTTTCATGGTGAATCCAGTAAAGCAAGGATTCTTCGGAATATTATCCTTTAAATTTCTCGAAATTCCGGTGTTACTATTCCTAGATTATCATTTGTCGGATGGCTTTGTCGTTTGTTCTTTTAAGATATAGCAAAATTGGAGGGGTTACGTGTGTTCGGTGAGGTGCTGGACAAATTGCTCATTATTATCAGATATACCCTAATACTTTTGCAGTGTAAGTATGTCGTCTTTGTCAGTGATACACATCAAAATAACGAGTGACGCTAGTCAATTTCCTTGTGAAAAGCATTATCCACCAAGCATGCAACTTAAGGATTTGAAGGTAAATTGATTTGCTTATTTGATTTGTTTATTGATTTCACATCTGCATTGCTTGATTTGCAAGTTGTTAGATGACATCTGCATCGGCAAGATCCTCTTCATTCTCAGCGGAGACAAGAAAGTTGAAAAAATCCAAAGGTGATTGAGAAGACTAACGCCTTTTCGGAATTCATGTTCCTGTAAACTTTCTTCCACCATTTCAGAGTAAAATACAACTGGTCGTTGGTATGGCGGCCGAGGCAATGCAAATAGAACTCCGTGACAAAACTGGAAAATTTATTGCTTCGTTAACTGATGATATGGCAACACTGGAGAATCTTGGGATTGGTGACGGTGAGAACATTCGTATCAAATCAAGACTTTTTTAGGAGAAAACTTGGAAGGTTGCTCAGTTCCCCTCCTCACATCGATTAAGAAACGTTCTGGAAAAGATGATTATTTTCAGGAATGAACGTTCATGTGAAAGATTCATCTGGCTTGGTGAGCAATCTAATGGATCCATCAATGGTTGAGAAATACGCCATATCCGATGAGCAGTATGATCAACGAGATGGTGCGAATTTTGATTCTATGCGAATTTTCATTTCGGGAAAATTTCTCCCCAATCGTTCCAAAAACAAAAAAAATGCGTTGAGAACTACTTGACTTAAATGTTTTATCAATTTCGATCGAAGAAAATATGCGCAGAATTGGAATTGTCAATGGAGAAGGTCGATAAACTTTGTGTTGTGTTTTGAAAACGTATTACAAGATGCATTTCTACAATTCAGAGAGTGTACGTGCCTGGAAGAAACGTCAAGGGCTTGGTATGAGTCCAGATGGACAACAGTCACAGCATGAGATTGAGGCATCGAGGCAGATGGCTGAACATATAAAGGTGTCGTAAACATTTTCTGTGATAGAATAGTGAAATGAGGATAGATTTGAATAAAGATAATAATATTATAAGAACACTTTCATGATAATGATTAATAACAATATCAGTTATGAGCACTTTTCAAGGTTTCATCTCCTTCTTGAAAAAATCTTATTACTGGATCGTAATTGTCGCCTGCCAATTTGCTTTTATTTTTTATAAACACGTATTTTATTCTCCATTTGGTTTACTTTCACTTTTTATTATATTTTCGTTCTATTATAGTTACCGGTTATTGGAAACTTTCTTCGCGAACGTGCCCAATTATAACTTTTTATTCGTTTCCATCATATACTGTGCGAATGAGTATTGTAAACTTAGCATTCTAATAGAATTTGTGAATTGAGGTTGGCAGTCGATGCAGCGTTCAGTTGAGCAATCAACCGGAAAAACGAGGTGTTGTATCGTTTGTTGGTGAAACCCAGTTTAAGCCAGGTTATTGGATTGGTGTTACTTACGATGAACCGGTCGGTAAAAATGATGGTTCAGTGAACGGTCAGAGGTAAGTTTGATTGTTGACTCGGTGTTTTAATTTGGGAAAGAGAGAGTTGCTGGAAGATATTGGTCATTTCTGCTGATTAAATTACTTCAAAGTTGTGAATCGTTTATTTCCGAAGAATTTTAAACGTCGTCATTAAAATAAAATGCAGACATTCACTTGATATAATGACTCATTTCGCAGATATTTCCAATGTGATGATAAATACGGTGGATTCGTTCGGCCAAAAGATGTACACACCGGGGATTATCCGCCGTTCATATCAGATCGTGAGATGGAAGAAATATAATTTTATAAGATATCGTTTGTTGATAAACTGAAACGTTATCAGCTTAGGCCAAATTCCGTTAGTTGTGCAAAGGATCTCAGACCATAGTTGTTTCAAATCATTTCCGTTGTGAAAAATACTGTTTTTATCGTTTTAGTTGATATCGTTTATCGTCATTGCGAAATTGTTGGTCAACCGTTGTTTCGGTTGCAGCTTGTGACGTGCTTTCGGATTGATCTTACGAAAACATTTTAGCAATCCACTTATTCATACATTTCCATGTGAAAAGAATGCTCATCTTGCGTGCGAGGAAATGATGCGATTGATTGTTCGTTGCGTTATCGATGAAACATTTCACTGTTTCAAATCACTTTTCCACTGTTTTTCAATTTGCATTATGTTTTTAAGTTATTTTCAAAACGAATAAAATGCTTCACAGAACAACAATCTTGAAAAATGTTTCCACGTGCAAAAATATTTATACAATACAAAAATACCAGACAATTATACAGTCAGGAAAGCAAACTTTAAAAAAGAAAACTGCAGAAGTAATCAATCGTAGCCACGAACACACAATCACCTACATTCTAACACATACTCATGATTATATGCTACATATAATAATGCTTGTAATAGCCAAATCAATTCGATGAATTGACGGCATAAAAATGTTCGTATTATATAAAATATTATTCATGAAACTTGACAGTGTTTTGAAGTTCGATTACAAGATATATACACACAAAACATCGCAAATAATCCATCAGTAACTGGATCAGATGGAAGCATCTGCGTTATTGTGAGAGAAGCTAACGGAAACTGGACGTGGTGAGTGTACGATACGATATCAATAAGAGTAATGTCACAATATGCGATAAAACCGGCCCTTCAGCTTTTGTAAAACCCAACAAATCTTAGTTGAATGCTTCAGTGGAGAGAGTGTACACTAACTCACTAGTGGTTATCGTTCCAGTGCTAACAAGCTTGGTTAGAAATATGAGAAGTATTCTTCAGATCGTGACAAATATCAGACGTCAAAACTAAAACTTCGGAAATTCATACAGAATCCACATGAAATGAGATGACCCGTTGGTGATTGAAGCTAAAATGAAACAATGTAAGAGGGTGACAAAACTGAATGAAAATTCCGACACTAAGTTCAGTTCGTTTCATTCAACAGAAGTCTGAGTTCAAACACCGAACATAACGGCCGAAATAGGTCACTGCGATTGCCTTCACTATATTAATTGATAACAATACAATAACAGCAATACTCAAATTGTGGTAATCAACATAAAACCACGTTGAAGAAGCGCTATCACTGGGCTTTTTATGCAAAAACGAACACGAGATTTACTGTTGGTAGAAATTATAAAAAATTCATTTACGCAACTCGTAACTGTAAGTAAACGAGTAGATTACGCCGTATGAAGAAACGAAACTCATAAATGATACAATTTTCTGAAGAGATGTTAAATTGACGACATAAAAATTTATGGACAAAACAAGAAAACTTTGTAAAGCAAAGTGTATTCCAGAACTTCGGAACAACAGCACAAAAATACAATTCATTCTGCGTTCAATGCAATAATTAATTAATCGAGTTTCGTTCAATCGATCAATCTTGCATAAGAATTCTCAACAAATGTTTCTTGAGCACTGATCAGAAACTATCCAGAATTGTCAGAATACACTTCTAATTGTATGATTGTACAGAATACACTTCTACACATTACTAAAAACACGACCATTTTCGGTTTTCACTAAACTTCCAACAAAGAGAGTCATTCAACGCGTTGCATTTTAAATTTTTCAACAAATAGTTGCATTTATTCGAATTACAATTTACGCAAATTCGCATAGCTGCCATTTATGTGTAGTCTATCTATGCGTTGGAGTGAAATTACTGACATGAACAATCAAATTTGAGACGACGCAAGAAGTGTTATATGAAAAGTATTCGATTTGCTATGAAATACAACAGCAAGAATGATAGCTAAAAGCAACCGATTTGATTTTCTTTACTTGTTAAAGGAACATAAATAACACCCATTAAATCACGAATATTCACTTCGCCATTTTCATCTTTATCAACCTGTACGAATCGTTGGTCGCTGTGTGCTGCACCTACTGGAATTAGCATACGGCCACCTGGAGCCAACTGCTCAAGCAACTAAAATACAGACCTACCGAATACCGCTTTCACATTTAATACTCTATTTAAACTACATCCAACCAGTGCAGTAAATAAATCTTTTTCGTCACGATTGCAATGCAAAATCACTGAATGAATGGATGCTGCAGATATATTCCCAAATGTTCATCCGAATCAGCGTGTCGCTTCATTGTGCTTGCTTTCGAAATTATGACCGCAGAATGTATAATGCACGTTTTTGGTACGTGAAAAATACCTTTGGTGGTAATTCAGGTGCAGCTGCACCGACGTGTATAGCTTTATAGGGTGCACAGGGTGCATACCCCTCACGACCGTCACCTTCAACCATAATGACACGACCGGATGTTAGCAGATCAGAGTGGTGCTTTTCGATGTTACGTTTGGATAGGTCAACCAACTCTTTTATATGATCTATACCGACTACTTTACCAGTTTCACCGATCTTCAAGTTATATCACGTAAGTATAAATCACTTTAATTTATTCGATATTATGATCTGCTCAGCGGTATCGCAGTGATAACGGTGATAAACATCTTGAAGATATGGTACCAGATTCACATACTGAGTACATTTTTATGTGCGAACAGAATGAACTGAAAACTGGAACGAACCATCTGCGCCATACACACAGTTAAGTAGCCCGAGCCTGAGCCAACATCCAAAGCGTTGTCACCTTCTTTCAGGTGATCCTTTAGTCTTTCCAGTGCTGATGCATGCTGCAAAGCCAAACGGCCTGGTAATCACATAGAAATTGTAGCACTCATTCTTAAGCAGCATCCATAAAACTATTAACGAGATTATTCTGCAGAGCATCAAAAATTACAAAGGAGTATCTGTCTCGTGGCATTGTGAAAATGAAATATTGAACGATAAATATTCGAGCGAATGTGATCCCATCAAGACCGACCATATGAGGAGCGCTGATGGTGGCATTGTAGCCAATCGGTTCCGGATGATCGAAATAGGCATTTTTTGGACAAAAATCACCTCTATCAACACTTAACATGGCTTCTTTTACTCTTGGATCACGGAACAGTTGATTCTCTGAATAGGGATTACGTGAATAAGACAAATCAGGAACCTGACGGAAATCAGATTTGTTGCCTTCGAAAAGTGATAATGTGTGAATAAAAACTGTACCTCCATCAATCAAACCGACTCAAGCAGAGCATTTACAAAGTTTCTGTTGAACTCTCAACAGATTCAGCTATCCAAAGCCAAACTTGCATGGAACAGTTTTTGAGCACGTGATACGTGTTGACGAATACAATGCAAGGTAATCTCAGAGTTTTTATGGCAACTCATATCACTTACTTTCAAGATTCCCAACCAACGAAGCGTTGGAGTCTCCATGGGAACGCCATGCCATTGCTAGTGACTTAAGACGATGCCAACGAACGTATAATCGAAGTGCTTCGTTAAAATTTATTCGTTTTTCACTCATACAATATCAGCATTCAGTATTTATTATAACAGATTTCTTGTAGCAATAATTACCCACTAAATTTTGCATTAAACTCTTTTGTTAATTCGATTAAAATAACCACATTAACGAATTATTCAAATTACCAACGCAAATCCAATGAACTCAAATCGGTAACAAAGCTCATTTAAGCAAAGTCACATTCTTGCAAAACAGCAAATTGAAGAAGTAATATCCAATTAAAATTAGCAACGGTTAACCGATGTTTGACACCAATACAATTTGTTCATCAAACGATGTAAACGGCATGCTCGACTTACACAAATGTTATATAGAATTGAGCTGCAACTGAAGTAAAATCCGCGAAATTTGAATTAAACAAATTGAGAGACTGAAATCTGAGGTTTTCAACCTCCAAATGAGGCCGAAATACCAGGAAAGGTGGCATTTACCTTCAGTCTGAATGACCGGACTCGAGGTCCAAGCACTTTAACTGTCATCATCGGTATCCAATTTAGATGTGGAGAACTGGGTGTATTTTTTATCCGATTTACATCTGAACAATGGAAATAGCAGAGTCGACCTACAAACTGTCAGCTAAGCTGGATCCGTGATATTGTTCAACATCTGAGGTCAACCAAATTTCACATTTCCATCTATATCAAGCATAACTGGTACTTTCTTTTACGAGTTGAATTCTTACCAGCTTTGGTTCAGAATCACCTTATTAACTTCTTCTGGGTGACGGTAAAAGCAAAATTCAGTGCGATCAAGATCACTTTCCCGGTGATCACGACCATTCCTGAGCATTCCAATTGTTTCCGTGATTCTCTGGATAAAATCCTATCATTACATCCCGCCTGTTTCAAATCTGACTGCTTAACAAGACATTTTTTCGCCGAAATCATGCGTTAATGCAATTTTGAATTTTTTGAAAAAGAAGAACACATGAGCCTTATGATAAGTGATAGCAATGTGATAATGTTTTGCTTTAATTGTGATCATGTTGAAATGTTAATGAACAGTTTGAATGCTTTTGTTGTTTGTATGATCATAAAAGCAGTTCATGTCAGCTGTATGATTGCACGATTGCTATTTAACAAAAAATGCATGCACACAAAGTGAAGACAATGCCACCGAGCGCAAAATTTGCTTGTTTATAAATTGGGAAGTTAACGTTTCATATTGGAATGACCGACACTTTCGGAATGTTTTCCAAATGGAGAACTTTTTGCGAAAGAAGATCTCTGAAGTGATTTCAGGCTTCAAACTTACACGAAGTTAGTATGAGCTTGATTTGGTATCCAAAAACGGTAAAAAGAAGGAATCGTTTTTCGACTATCAAATCAAAGCTAACGGGTGATATACATATGATTGCACAACATTTCGTCATTTGTTCTTATGAAATGGTGCAATAAAGTCAGATGATTGCATATCATCCCTTCTTTAGAAGTGCACATTCCCTCACTCCCCTTTCCTTCTAGATTAGTCATTTTCGTAATGGTGAAAGTTTGCATCATCCAAGTGCAATAATTTTTACTACAAAAGTTCAGTATCATGTGTTACAATCTCATAATACTCTTTCAGTTTTTACTATCAATAATCTACTTTGCCAGCCATTTTATGGTGCTGTCGTGTTCCTTTAATCGGTTTCTTTTGCCTGCCGTCAACTTCAAAGTCGGGCTGAATTAATCAAGACTTTCCTGGAAGAATTTGATAGGGTGAGGGGTTTTACTTCGATTACTAATTGCAATAATCCGTTGGCTTAGAACTTTATGGATGGAAATTCCAGTTTAGTCGTTGTATCAGCTGAGGGTTGATGTTGGAGAGTTCAGTCGATGTGTTGGTGTCGATAGATACTTTTTCTGTGCAACTTGTTTCGGGGATTTTAGCATAGGGCATATTCTCATGTTGTCATTCCACCTACGAAGGAGCAATTGACGGTCTCATTGCTGCGCTTCAGCGCTACGATTATAATTTCCGACTCAAGGAACGTTGGCGATTATACTCGTTGGCGAAGGGTGCATTGGCGTATTTGTTCAGTAGTTTCAGCGTGGAATGAAAATTTGCATATTAAGGAAACAGACTTCGAAGGTCTGATGATGGGAAAGTGTAATTTCCCACGGAATTCGTTGGAATCGATGGAATTCCGGGCGAGCGCTTGGAATTGCATAGTGAAAGTCGTTTAAATTACAAATTTTCATTTATATCAATCAATATAGGATGCCGTTTCAATATCGTATTGAGTAAGATTGTGCAATATTGTTGCGTTGTTATTTTGCCGTTATGATTCATTGAGTAATTGGCTCATGTTGTCTAGTTTTAACTTAACTCACTCTAATCAGTATTGCTTGTCTTCGATTCGAAAATTCAGGAGCTGATTGTTGCTTGTTAAAGTTAACGTTTAACGAGATTTGTTCGGAAAATATTGGTCTGTTTGTCTTGTGAAATGAAGAGATTTTTTGACATTGGGACTTGAACTCTTTAATGTCTCCTTCTGATGGCTTTTCCACCGAACCATTGCGGACGATTCAGATGTTGACAAGACCTTGTTTCACTGCTTCTTCGTGAACTGCTGTTTAGTGTGATCACATCTAGACCCAGAAGGACCTGTGTAAGTTCATGTTCTAGTTATAGTGGACTCATGTTCATGTTCTAGTTATAGTGCACAGTTGAAAATTGATCACCCAGTTATGAATAAAATCAAGAGATGAATTTTGTCGAATAGCTTGTATTATAGCAGTTCACAATCTTCACCATTAGTTCTTCGTTCAAAGGATCATTAAATCGGATTTTTCTGAGTTTGTTCACTTCCGAGGTTCGCTTTGCTTGATAACGAATACTAAATTTTGCATGAAATATTTTGCCATTTTTGACCTGTCAAAGTGATAATGATAACAGTTCATTGTACAGTTTACTAACAGAGCACGGCCTGTTCGTCGATGGTTTGTGCCTGAATTTTATTGTTCGATTACTGAATCAGTTCACCAGAATACATCCATTTCATTCAATTTGTTTGTATCATTTTGAGAAGATTGACTCTGCTTGCTTATGTTATGTAGGAATGAAGTATGATCCCAGACGAACACCACATCAATAGGCTTGTCATCTTCCAACCAAATAAAAGAAACAATAAATTCTGAAAAATAGATCTGCTTTAGTACGGATTTCGAAGCGATTGTAAAAATGTCGGAGAAAACTTTCTGATTGTGAACAATTTTAGTGCATAAAAATGTCAAAAAATTCCAAAGGAACTCTCACTCTTAATGAAAGCGGAGTAGGAAAAATATTCATTCAGCTTCTTCATCTGCCTCATGGCGACTTTGAATTCGTTTACAGTCAGAATAATTATTCTGTTTCATTTTCAAATAGCTCTCTTTATAAAGTCTCATTTTTGAAGTGTCTCTGAACTAAGATCTCCACTCCCAAAACAGCTACTGTTTATCCTCGAATTTCGCCGATCCTTGTCTCATCCCCCTCCCTGACTCTTTGGGAAAGCTGAACTGCTTTGATCACGCTGGGAAGAAATTACTGAAGAAGCAAACAACCTGACCGCAAAGACTTATCAAAGATTTGCATTACTTTCACCAGTTATTCCTATCAGAGAGGCGATGTTCACGAGAACGGGATTGAAATTTATTTTGTTCTCCCCGTCCCCATTCCTATGTCAAACATCCTCTAAAGCAATCTTCATGAAATGCGTTGTTTTCAATTTTGCCTGGCATTATTTTTCCTGGTTATATTCAAAAACAAGCTTCCAATAAATTTGTCCATCAATCATCGACATTTTATTGTTAGAGGAGGTGAAGCACTTAATCGAAGTGTTTACTTATTTATGTTCCTCAACGGTGTTTCGGTATAATTAATTGGCACTACGTCAGTCTTAAGCACTTTTCTTCTCCATTCAACTCACGAAGTATTTTCATCAACTGTTCATTTGATTTGCAAAATCCTGTTAAACTTCAGTGTTCCACTGCAGAAAAAGAAAAAGATTCAAATGAAAATTCCCCACTTTCCAAACGCTTTCCATGTTCATTTGATAATAATCAGTGGACAATGAAATTGAAATTCAGAAAATGCGCTCTTTATGCCACAGAATATTTTTTATTAACTTCCGCTCTTGTGCATTTCTGTCAGTCGAAATTTGTTATTTCGTTCTGTTTGATAGCTCGTCTGTATTTTCCTAAAATATGTTACTGATAAATTCGCTGTTCGAAGTATGTTTCACATCATGTGTTCGTTGCATAGGAGTATAGGCATGCTTTATCGTCAGCCAAGCAGCTGTTTTCTTCATTCAAAAACATTCCACCAGCCGATTTCAACGTTCCTCATATGTTGGAATATCAGCCACCAAACTCTCTCTTCGTTCAACTCCTCGCCTATTTCAGCTTGTTGTCAATATCTCAATATGGATTTTCGCTCTAGTTTGTCGTTGTTCTTTAGAAATGTTCTGAACATTAGACTTACATCACGTCTTCAGATCACATTAGCACGAAGTTTTTATTTCTCAGACTGTCGTGAATTCTAGGTTATATAAACCTTCCGTTCATTAGCATGAAATGCCAAAATTTCTTCCGAAAGTGCAAAAATGATGCATTCATTTTACAGTGTTCATCGGCAGTAAAACTATCCGCATCAGTTATTTTGTCATATATTTTTGTTCTGTTTAAAAATGAATGGATTTCCTCTAGCTAATTGAACGTTTCTAAGGAACAAGCCTTATCTCCTCCACCTTCATGATATTCACTTATTCGCATGTCGAGATAATTCTAACTCTGAAACGGCTTCCAAATTAGGATGAATGTTGAATAATTTTTCAAAGGAGGAAAAATTGACTTCAGATAAATATCAGCGACTACTTCAAACTACGCCTTGTGAAATTCATCTTGAGGTTCCTGAAGTTTACGCTTCTGATTCTTGTCCGAACGAATATAAAATTGGAATTGTTTCGCAGCTTTTTTGAGAGAATACTTGATGCTTCGTCTACTGTATGTGTTAGCGTTGGAAGTTTACGACGAATGTAGGTCTGAAGATCTGGCTCTGAGACTAGCACTGAAAATTTATGCATTGCAGCGAATAGATCTTTTCAAATGGCAGACAATAGAATTATATGGTTGAATTGGTTTTATCGCATTCCGGCCATAATTTTCTTATGTTAACTGCACCGCAATAGCTAGGTGAATGTCTTTGATAGATGTTTTTGTCCTTAAAAGTCCGCGAAATAAGTAATTTGTTTCCATTGGGTAGCTTTGGCTTATACCTTGACTGATTAGATGACTTTTTATACATACGTTTGTTTTCTATGCAATTATTTGCGATACGTATTATCTGTTGAGTCATCGATCTCCATTCACGTCGATCGTATGAAATGATATGATAAGAAATGAGCTGAATTCCATTTGCATCGAATAAATTGAACGGAAGTTGGAGCGTTTTTATGCCATTATTATATTGTCTTTCATATTATGAAAGTGCGATTTGCATCTAATTTTTATGTAATATTGCATAATCGTTATCAGCAATTGTGCAACTCTCAAATAATATCGTTTTATCGTTTGTTTTACTCTCGTATGAAAGGGATTTTTGAGGTTTTTGTACACTAAACGACATTGAATGAACTGAAAAGTTTCGATATTGCCTTTACTTAGCAAGAAATAAGAATTGAAGGGTTTAAGATGGGATTTCAGAGCAGTAGTTTCAGTCAGATAGAAAATGAACAGATAGTTTGTTCTGTGGTTCTGCTTTCATTCGCCCTTTCCAACTGAAAACGGCAATTTTGTTTTTGCGGAACGTTTATCATCAATTTGCGAACCATATTATGACTGAAACTATTTTCGATTAGTTTAATGTTGAAGTTTCACGCAAACGAGTTTATTCGAGCTCGCATTTTACGACGACGTCGTAGAAGTTGGTTTGCGTGCATTGTGGGGATTATTATCTAGTAAAATGCATGTTTATAATTCTCAACTGTGCAATTTTTTGGAGAAATCCCTTCGTTCTGTTCTGGTCGCTCTCAAATATTGGTTGCCTCACCGATCAAACATCGCATCAATCCATCGTGAACTTTCTTTTGAATGAAATTCGCACGTTTGTTCTGACGGTGCGGTTTTTGTGTGGATAGATACCCTTTATGAATTGAGCAGTGCTCTTCATATTCTGGATTTGCGATCTGCCGGCACTGAAAGATGTTGACTTATGATGCCCTTTTTCCTCCGAGCAAGCTCATTATTTCATATATTATAGAATAGATCATTTTCGTATTGCAATTCACTGAACCAGTGAAAAATATGAAGATATTTATGCTGTTTGATATTTGAACAGTCTCAGGATGTTTCATTAACTCAGCAAATACATTCTCTGAATCACCATTCGCTGATGAGAAATCCGTGAATTATTGTAAGCAGTATTGCTCATTGTTGTTCGTATTATATTTACTAATGAATGTTCACATGGTGATTGCTGCAGATCATCGAACCGAATTTGTTGACGTTTCATTGTTTAATCGTTGCTGATTTCATTGTTTTTTCGCTTTTCGATTCACCATTTCAATCGTTTAAGGCCGTCTGATGTTCTGCATAAATCGGATACTGCTGAAGAAGCGATTGTGAGATATTAACAAGTTTATTGTGGGTGAATGAAATTGACGTGAATTGTATGACGTTAATTGGGCATATCAACTGTTACTGATACTGATTATTCACTTGAGTCATCATGGATTTTATGATATCGCAGTTTGCGAATGAATCATCGCAGTCGACAACACTTGATCGACGACGGTGAGTGGTGTCTGTTTTTTGTTGATTGCTGAGTTGATTGTTCGAGTTGGTTGTTCGTAAATAAGTCCGACTGACCTCTTTCGTAATGGTCGCAGATTCATCGCTTTTCCTTTAAGAATAGGAAAAACAATTATGGTGTTATATTTCTTGGAAATCATAAAATTGTCCATGAAATCGGAATGGGTGATTTCGTTTGTGAAAATGTGAACGTGGAACGTCGCGCGATTGAAGCCGGAAGAGTCGGTTTTGCCAGCCGTCTAGTTATGTCGTGAAATTGTTCTGGATTAGACAGCCTGTTTTAATCTGTGGCTGAAAATCGACTTTTTTTCTTCTAAAGACATAGCTTGTTTCATTTTTGTTACAGTTTTCCATTGGTTAAAAAGTTTCCGTTCTTAAAAACTTGAACTTCATTTTCTCATTCCCGTTGACGACACATCAAATATCTGCAATCGGAATGATTGCGCATGATAATTCTTTTGCATTCTTACAATGTACTTCCTATGAAACAACTTATAATCGATCTTTTTCCTTGGGACTTTCATTGAGAACATATCGATCTAATCCTCTCATCATTGAAAAGTAAATCGCATCACATGAAATTATCATACGAAATCTTCGGATAAGATGCATCAGAGTGCAGATTAGAGATTGATTCAAGAGATATTATTATAGAAGACGAATTGTAAAAATAACGTCACCCAATGCAAAGAAAAAAGCATTTTTGCACTGTTTGTTTTGCTGGTGTATCGATTGAATCAGAAGTGATGTGTGAATGTTATTTAGAGGAACGAAGTAATAAATTCTTATGATGTACTCATTTGCTTATTTACTTCTTTAAATTAATTGTTTATCAAAATCGTGGATACAGAAAATATTTTTTCACTTCTTTTGCCACTGCTGCAAAACAACATTGTTGGTATCGATATACATTGCTCGAGTGCGTTTGAATCCTCTTTACAGCTCCCTCAAATTTCATTGGATTCATATGGCCACTGGCTTTTTTGTTTTTTACTTCCAGTCAGTTTTTTTCACACTATCAACGGGGTTCTCATATGTAATCTTTACAGATTTGTTTTTATGGGTAGATAAATTATTTTCGTTGGTAGACGAATTATTTTGAGAATTTCGAGGAGTGATTGAAGATTTTCATCTGTTTCAGAATATCGTCATTAGGAGGCGAACAACTTGAACAACTGTCGTTAACATCGGACGAGAAGCGCAAGAGAACGAAGTCAGCAATGTTGAACATCGACACAGACAACTGCTGCTTACCGCCAGAAGTTGAAGAGGGAAATATCGAATATAAGGTCAGTTCTGGGGATTCTACCCTTATTGGTGTTCTTATTGAGGTTTTGTTTTGATTCCAATTCCTTCATTTTCATCATTTCAAAATTTGTTTTTCGTCTTTGACTGACAACTGAATTGAAAAGGCAGATTTTGCGTTGTTGAACGACCGACACAACTAACCTCATTGATTCGAGTATTTAATGAAGTCATTCAATCAACAACAACCGAATATTAGATTGCTTCGCTCTTGGTGTTCATTCGTTTTGAAGGAACCACTACAGGGAACATAACGGAGAATTTTTTATGCACTGAACTTAAAATGGTGACCGTGGTACTAATAGATGATAAAACGTTAATGAATACGTCAGATTTTGTGTAATCTCAATGAATTTTACGTTGGATTCAGGTGAAATTAGTGAATCCATCGTCAAGCCGTATACAGCATTTGATAACGCAAATGAAGTGGCGATTACGTGAGGGCCAAGGTGAGGCAATCTACGAGATCGGTGTGGAGGATCACGGCTCGATGACGGGCTTGACTGACAGCGAACTGAATGCATCGATGCGAACGTTGAACTGCATGGCGAGTGCCTTGAATGCCAGCATTGTTACGGTGCGTTTTTGAGTGTGTGCATCGTTGGCGGTTGGGATTTTTGTGTAATCCACATCCCTCTCTTGTCATACTGTAATGTTCTTTATAATGGGATTCTCTTGATTAATTATGCGCATTCTCATAGTAGATGGAGTAATCTCGAGGACTCCATTGACCTGTTTTTGATTTTGTTTATGTTTCATTTTCAGCTAAGTGAACGCGACGTGACCCCGAAGAGCGATGACTGCACAACGCCACGGCGACGTGTGCTTGAGGTGCTGGTTCGTAAAGTGCCTGATAACCAGCAGTTCATCGACTTACGGTACCTAATTATGCTCGTGCATTTTACTCTGTATTTTGATCGCATTTATTTCATGCACTTTTAGAGAAGTTATCCTTGCGAAAGAATATTCTTCAAATTTTCGCATGAAGGCAATCAGTCGAAGGCTCGAAATATTTGCAACTTGAAAAGAAATTTAAACTTCACGCAGTTGTTTAGTGCTTGAATTAATCCTCAGTCTCAGCGGTCACTTGGATTCTTCCATTTTCCAACCCTCAATGCCTTACAGATTAGCGCTTTTGGGAGATGTCGATGTAGGTAAATCAACACTGTGTGGAGTGCTGACACAAGGTGTGCTAGATAATGGTCATGGAAAGGTACGATATTAATATCATTTTTTTCTTTTTCCCGATTGAAGATCGGTATTTTATGAGATATAGAGAGGTATGACACCAATAAGTTTTTTTTCAGGCACGCTTGAATATGTTTCGTTATTTGCATGAGTTGCAAACCGGTCGAACTTCCTCAATTTGTTTGGATATTGTTGGTTTCAACTCGAATGGTCAAGTGAGTGACTGTGTTCCTTTGTTCTGTTATCATTCTCCCTGTTGATGGTAATCATCCTAATCATTAGCGTTTGTTATTGATTATTGTTTGGAATTATCGTGACAGTTATTCAAAAGGATCAGTGTTTCAGCTGATAAACTATGCAGATCATTCACTTGAGGAGATCGTGGAACAGTCAACGAAGTTGATAACTCTACTCGATTTGGCTGGTGACAGGCGATATTTGAAAACAACTATCTACGGACTGACAGGTTCGTGAAGTGGAAGGTCTAATAGATTTTTTGAAAAAGGTATGAAACTACTGCATAATTGTTCAATGGGGAAATGGACAAATTGTTCAGTGGTTTTGAAATGTGAGAGAGAAATTTATAATGGACTTGTTCGGAAAGTCCAATTATTATAGTCATTTTCTTTTGTTGCTGGTGAATCTTGCTGCATAAATTTCATTTTCAGCTTATGCACCACATTTCTGCGCTCTGGTAGTGAACGCTCTCACTGGCCCAACAGCTGTAACTCGGGAGCATTTGGGATTCGCAATCGCCCTGAATATACCACTTTTCGTCGTTATCACCAAAATCGATATGCTCAATGCTGATGCGGCCGAAAAGTTAGTTCTATTTTATTATCATTTTCCATTGATGCGTTGAGTTTTTCAGTCGTTTCTTTCGTATTAGATTCTATCGGCATTGTTCGAGTGAGACTCAGTTTACAGCTGCCATTACTTCATCTTTTCAGTTACACAATTCAGTTCTTTAGATGTTACGGTTTATTCATTTGTAGTGATCGCTTTTGTTGTCGTGATTTTGTCGCATTTTCCTCAGTGGCGTATATATAATCGGATTATATTCTTTGAACGAATGATTACGTTGTTATTTTAGAATGCAACGAACCGTCGAGGGTTTACTCAGACGACCAGGTATGAATCGGGTCTCACAACGGGTACACTGCACTGGTGATGCTGTAGGGTAGGTGCTTCCCCCTTCATTCCACCAGAAATGAGCGACGTAGGGTTTTGTTCGGGAAAGAAAATCAAGGAAAGACTTTTTGTTAGTCGCCTCTCGAAAGTAGAGAAATGAATAAAGTCGAAAAAGTTCACTTTAGATTATTAAATGAATTTCACCTGATTAATTCAATCCTTATTTCTTGTTTAAAGTGAGTCTCCATTCGGAATGTGCATTTGTTTCCGATAAGACTAAACCTAAGCAGCATCCAGGTTCAACATAGTGCTTAGATGATGTTTTTAAAGATGTGCATTGACAATGGTGACCGAAAATGTTGTGCCAATATTCACAGTATCAAACGTCACCGGTACGAATATGTCTCTGTTGGAGTCCTTCTTAAACGTTCTTCCTCCCAATGGTTTGTCTAAATCGAAACAAGACGAACTGTCGATGGCCGCACCACTTTTCTCGGTGGAAGAGGTCTTTCGAGTCCCTCGTGTGAGTGGACTGTTTATGCTATATATTTTTGTAATCCTGTTGATTGCTGTGCTTATTATAGTTACTGATGATCAGTTCGATTTTTATTACTGCCATTATTGAATAACGATTAATGGCATCATCACTAATATTTTCATCGGTTGTCATTAAGACTGTGATGAAGTTTGAAGTGTCCGATTTATACTGAATAAGTTTGAAATGCCATCATTTGTGTCGGAATGGAATGGATTTAGTTCACTGAATATTGTTTGCAGATTGGAACGATTGTGTGCGGAATGTTAACCGATGGTGTGCTGAGCGAGGAGAATCGAATCAAAATCGGACCGGATCGTAACGGTGCATATCATGTGGGTAAAGTGGAGAGTATACGGCGCAATAAGCAACCAGTACGCTCGATCAAGCCGGGACAAGCTGCTTCTATTGCGATCACTTTTGATAATCCATCGCAAGTAGCCGACGTTGAGATAAGACGAGTGAGAAGATTCACTTATTTGTTTACTTTTATCGAATGCAAATAGAATTTGATGCAGGATTGTCTTCATTTCAAGTTTATCCGAGCAAAATTCGTTGGGTTTCATTGAATGAGCATCCGTCGTTTTTAGGGAATGGTAATGATGAACGCCAAGGACTTCTCTCCATCGTATCGTCGTTTCACTGCACGTCTGTATCTGCTGTATCATCCATCCTCTGAGATTTGTGTCGGCTTTCAGACCACTGGTTAGCCACTCTTCTAAAATTTCGTGTTTTTTATGACGTTGGATGACCGGAAATGCAAATGTTTTGAAAAATACAGTGAAATTGTAGTCATTCGTTGTACCTAACAAAATTTCCAATCAGTGATGAACGTATTGTGCGCAATTGATAGTTTCGGAGGAAATGTATTAGTCTTTTGATTTGATAATCAAAAAGTCAGCAGTTCACTTAATCACTTTCAGTGTATATCGGATCGGTTTGTCAAACGGCCACAATAATCGATATAGACGCAGCGTGCATAGTGCCGTGTCAGTGGGTAACGGCTCAGTTTGAATTCTACAATGGACCGGAGTTTGTGCGCATTGGAACGCCTCTGATATTTAGACAGGGTAAAACGAAAGGGATGGGTGAAGTGATCGCGCTTCCCGAGGAGGATATTATCAGCGAGGAAAGCGTTAATGAGCTGGATTGATTTGTCCATCAATTGATGTTGTTGAGAACGATCAGCAGCAGTGCTGGGTAATTAATGAATTTACGGAATCTTAGCTGAACGATGGCGATTAGTCGACAGAAGATCTGATCAATGAACACTGCTCAATTTGATGAGGATGAAAGGAGATGGACCTGCGATAAGAGCTCATTTAATAGATCGGCAGTGTGGAAGATGAGTTAAGCAAACGCCTTCCACAGAAACACTCGTAATGAAATGATGTCTGTGAGAATCTTACCTCTGAGCTGTTGTATTGTCATGTTGTTCGATCCCTCCTCAAATTTTTAGATTAACCTCATTAGCAAAGTTTTTTGACATAGAAATGTATGTACTGCTTTTTTTCTAAAATATTTCACGAGTATCCAAATTCTTCGGAAATATTCGACTTCCCTGGAGTTCCATGAATCTGAAGGGTCTTGCCAGAATCGCTTCTATAATGTTTTTGCTGTGTTCTCATAATCTGACATTTGATTATTGTGCTTTGTTGTCGAATGTTTTTCCTAACGATTTCTCTATTTTTCTACCGAACGTTTTTCATGGCACCCATAAAATATTACCATATTCAGCATAATATATTCATCAAATGAGAAGAAAAGTCTGGTAATAAGCAAATTTGAGATCGACATAATTACTGGCTCTTTTGCACTGAATTATAATTGATTCACTTCGTTTGATGCGAATTTTTGTTTCGGGATTCCGATTGATTTTATGCAGTGTGGTGATATCCCTGAATGTTGGAATGGTTGCGGATAGTTTATTCATCTGTGATGTTATGATTTTATGGTTTATCTTATTATTGTTTGATACGCATCGCTTTTGAGATGAGGAATTCGTTTTTCATTAAAATTAATACTGCCAGGATGCAGTTCGATCCATTCATCTGTATTTGTATGTACGTTTGTATCCATAATGTGTATTCTTTGCGTTTAATTTTTTTTACTTCTTTCCTTCGAAGGATTATTTACTTAGTGATTATGCAGTTGCTCTTTATTAATCATTTCTGATGATGAAATAATCAATGACGACTTGCCGAATATAATTTAACATATTGAAATGTTTTACTGATCATTTGATTGCATCATTCGAGATTGATGCAGCCATGTTCTTTTGATATGATTAATAGCTTAATTTTTGATGGTTTAACTCATTCATACGTTTCTGAGCAATGATTTAATTTCTAGATGTTGAGATTTCAACTTCTGGTGATTGTCTATATTGCTGTTGTTTGTCGTCTACCGGATATAGTTTATTCAAGTCTTGCATGATTTATTTTCCTTTGCGTTCAATATTATTGAGCTGTAATATAGTTTGTGTTATATGCATTAGTATCGAGAAGTTAGGCAATAATTCATAGAGGTAGTCGTTTTGCATGGATTTTGTCGTTTCAGTGGTGAAATGTGAGAGTTGAAGTTCAGAGATACGAGAGGTGCATATCCCCGTGCATCGCGTTTCAAAAGTTGTGAACTTATTCTTCTCTTCTGATCGAAGTTTCGTCTCATTTCAAGTAATTCATTTGTGTTCAGCTTCTCCGAATAGGGAAAGAGTAGTATTGTTGTGATTGAGGAGCACGTGCTTGATGAGAATGTGTTATGAGGTGTGATTTGCACAGGTGTAATGTTTCCGTTTTTACTGATCCTATAAAGAGTGACCTCGATTAGCAATTGATCGTTGTTTTTTCGGATTTGATTTGTAAATGTTCATCGCAGATTTTATCACGTTGACCATTCATAATTGTGGATTGACATTTTGTTGTTGTTTTGATGATTACGTTCAGATTTGTATATACTCTCGGATAGTAATAGTTTTGAGTTGTGAAGATGTACGTTGACCTTCGACGAGTTTCATTTCTGAATGTGATTTGTGAGTGAATGCTGTGCATTCGTTCACTTGTCGAATTTGTTAATGTTCGTTTCTCGATGAAGATCTTTGAATTGTATCAAACAGGGAGAGTTTGGTGTTTTGAGAAGAATGCAAAGTAACCTAAATTGCGATAAAATGAAAGTTTTCTTTCTTGGAAAGAACTGGTCTTAACGTTTTACGTTTAGATAATACGTGATTTTCGAATATGGAACCAATTTTCCAGTCAAATACTCGTGTTCGACTTCATTCAGTTGATGGAATGATATTTAGAAAGAGAATTTGCAAAAAAGAGTTATCTCGCATTCAGTTGTATTTTTTTCTTTTGAGGGCATTCAATGGATAAACTCGATCCATCAGGTTTCAAAATTTTCATTTGCCATCTCTAACTCAGTGTCCTCGTTCAAAACGCTGCTCCCTCTGCCGTGCACCCACTGTCTTCCAGAAAGTTGATAATTCAGATTCATAGAATTGTGGCCGGCTCGTAAAAGTAACGAAAGTTTCGTCCTTATTTCTGTAACGGTCTTTGAGGACTTCGTTCGTGTTAATGTTTCATGTGTACCGTATGTGATCAATGATATTGTTTGATTGATCTATCTACCCATTGAATTGATAATTTTTCGAAGAATAAATTTTTGGATTTATTGAACTTTGCAGTGTGATTGAACACATTCATCGTCATATTGAACACAATCAAACAGTAGAATCTTGAAGCATGAGAATGTACAAGTTGTAGACTTGGAAATTTTGACAGTTTTTTGTTTTTCAGCTGCAATGTGAAGTTGAATCAAATTTATCTTACAAAATCAATTGGTGACGGTTAATGACTAGCAAATAAAAGCACTTCACTGGCGTATCACCTCAAAATATTTCATTCCATGCTTGACAGCTTCTAGTTTTTCGATAAAATCCCTCCTGAATTCATGTGCTCCGTTTCTGCCAGCAACTTGGCGAGTTATGGTTCACACGGATGAACTTTCATCATGAGGGAAGTGAGGATGTGGCAAATCGCTGCTGATTGATTTCTTTGTTGAAATGATGCTCTCTCAGTTGACAGATAATGTTTTCAAGGTGACTGCTTGATCGCAGATCAATTTCGTTATTTCGCCCTGATCTGTTGCTAGTCATAAGAAGAATAGATTACCGGAGGAGGGAATGGTTGTGGTTACGTGGATTGTTAACGATTGAATGGTGGTCTCCCGTACTCTCACAGTGAGTTGAGGTATAAAACACAAGAACATGAGAATCAATATCACAAGAAGGGGGGGGGGTGATTTTTTTGTAAGTATTCTACTAATATAGTACCAGGAAAATATTTTGAATGCGCACGAATAATGATCAAATGTGAAAGAGATAATTCCAGTCATTTTTCATCGTGATTCTCTAAATTCTTCACATCCAGCCGAGTGATTCCAATAAGATTCATTGCATTATTATCGTAGCTACCGGACGCCTGCGATAAGGTATGTTGTTGATCTTGATCAGCAATATTGGTGGCACGTTGTTGAGCTAACGTCATCATATCATCGACATCTTTCATCTCCAAATCTCGTCTCTCTTCCAGTCGTCTCACTTGAAATCTGCCCTGCTGTTGCAGTCGTTCACGAACAGTCACTTGATTGAAGCGATGACCAGCGCTTATCCTACAAAAAGATATGTCGCTAAACTTGTTGTCGCAAGTACAAGACTATCTATAACCAACATGAAGTATAACGATCAGTCCATCTCAACTCCAAATTCACATCGAATTTCTTAATAATTCTGATATTCTCGCCATTGCTACACAGTGAATAGAACTGAAAAGTAATTCTCAGCTCTACCAAAGGACGTTGGCTGGTCACCCAAGTTTGCAGCTAATCGTTCGGGTTGAAGCTCTGGCATGGAGCTCGAAATAGTGTGAGGATGTTTACCATGCTCTTTGTAGAGGTACCCAGATAAAGGCATTCCTTGATTCGAGCGTAATCTATTGATTTGACTGGCATCTATCATATCGTATCTTATCGTGCAGAACGTATCATTTCGAAATCTATTCATTCATTTTGAAGATGCATTTGCTTACTTACTGGGATTTGTCATCATTTGAAGGGCATATCCGGTGGAGTGATAAGCAACAAGCGAACTACTCACCTCATTATTGCTTTTGGAATCTCATTTTGTAACCGTCCAAAATGACTTTCAATCAAACGATCAGTCAGCACTTTTCCCTTCGTTTCAGGTTGCAGCGCAATTCCGCACAGCATCGTGACGATTATGAAAATTTCAGGAATGATAAATGTCCACAAAGGATTTATCGAAAGAAGTGGGATCATGATCCATACTCCAATTATCATTCCTACATGCCTGAAAGGTAATCTTTCGCTTTTCCACGATTTCCTGACACTATTTGCGGGAACATAACATTGTGACTGTGATTGGAAGTAAAATATGCTTCGTGAGTCAAAACTGTTCGTAAGATGAGAGATAAAGGGCTCAGTTTCACGAAAAGTGCGCCTGAATGGGTGCATGAGATTGGTTTGTTCATTAGTAGTTTCAGTGATGATGAAACTGACTTGAATGCGTGTATACAACCGAATGCGATACATCTGATGACTGTGGGATAACGTTGCGATGTGATTTGAACGATGTTCATCCAGAATACACTCTCGTTCGCCATTGAAGCGATCACAATGCAGATTGTGACAGCGGTATGATAGTATGGAACGTGGAGGAGAATCAGAACTATGACGATTGCAAAACACACCGTACTGATTGCTGAAATTTGTTTTAGATGGTAAGTTTTGATGAAATTCAATCGGTGGAAACAGCTTTCAAAAAACATTCATACTCATGAGAACTGTGCAGTATTCTTGAAAAAGTACTAAAGCATTCAATCAAGTGAGCAAAAAAAANAAAAAAAATTATCGCATTGTGAAAAGAACGCTTACCTAAGGAGCCAACGAGTTGCATTTTTCGTCCAAAATTGTAGAATTTAAAATCGAGAAAAACGACTAACGGAGGTACAGCTATTCGAAAGGCGCCATGTAGAAACGTGAACATTATAGCACTGTCTGAAACAGACTTGTTCGGAATTTTTAAGCTGTTCATTGACTATGAGCACGCAATATGATGGAACTGTTTGTGCTCATCGAACTGAAGGAAGCAGTTTTTTGACGAAAAAAGTTTCTTGGATAGTGGTCTATGATGAGAATCATCGATCGGCTTGGAAGGAGAGTCGAAAAAAAGTTTCCATTTTAGTGATCGTTTTGAATAAAACCCGGATTATCTCGAGCTTAAATTTCTTCATCCATTAACATAAGTTGCTGGTCAAATGTGTGAAACTTTCATCGAATGTTACGTTCTACGTTTACTTAATTTCGATTTGACACGCAAATCATAAGCTTTTACCATGCATTCCTTTCTTCGAAAAGAAGTATGTGCTCGAGATCAGCCCATAAGTGAACATACTCAGAAGCTGAAATATCAATGAAATGATGAGAATGAATGCTCTTCTACATGTTCCGTAGTACAACAGCGAATGATCAATTGATGAGATGTTGTTTGATATTTAAATGAAGAATTCCGAACTGCTTCTTAAGTCTTTCTAACAGGATTCAAGAGTATCGCTCGATTGAAGTATGAGTAACCTGCATGAATGTTTGCTTGAAAAGACGTCGGGTGCAAAATAAATGATAAACATTATAGAACGGTCTTTTGTTGGTCGTATCTCGAGGAATTAAATTCAAATCGTTTGTTGTCAACTTAATATTCGCATTATTCCAACGACGATGCGCTATATCATTCAATACCTTCAAATGCTCGCATGAATTTATGAGAAGTTCAATTTTTCCCGGACATTCCGTCCGGAATATAACATGAGAACGTTTGTTTGGAGATTGATGCATTCCACATACAAATAACATAATATTGATAGGCACGCCTACATACAGTCGCTGAACGAAACTGCGTGATCAGAACTGAGATCGCATATCTGAAAGGATAGTTCGGCGTTTCGATGCACTTTTTCGGAAGTTTTACTCGATAGAATTCACCTCACAAGCTCTTTCGAGTTGATTCGAAGCGACCAACCATCGAGGACTCTCATAAAAGAGCATGAAGCCAACAATAATTGGTGATGTGACTAAATTCAGGAAGATGAAATAATATTGCCAGTCTTTTGTCAAGAACGCGATTAACGCTATGACCGTGTACGCCAGTGGCCATTGGAAACATGCGTTGGGGATTAGACGATATCTTGAAAAATAATTCAGAAATTAGTTCATTCGCACCAATTACGATTTCAATAAATTTGTTTTACTTGCTCTGCATTGTTTTATTCATCGATGATCTACACATCTCATACAGGTGTGATATTCTCCGCACTTGAACATTTAACGGGGTAATAGTAAGCCTTAGAAAAAGCCTGAGACTAGATACGAGACTGTTTCAAACAAATCAGGTGAATAGACACCCGTATG